GCCAGCAGAGGGAAGGTTGGCATTTGGGGACACTGACCTGTGGAGAAAGCAAAGGGCTTGTGAGGCAAGAAGGTCTCTGAGAGGCAGAGAGGATCTGGGGTATTGCAGAGGAGGAGCTATAAAAATCAGGGATTATGGTGGCGTGGGTGGCTGTGGGGATGCAGAGCTGTGACAGGGACACGGAGATCTCCAGCTGCATGGACACGGAGATCTCCAGCTGCCATGGACACATTTCCCTCCTTCTGCAGGGAGCAGCAGGAGGAGGAGGTGAAGGAAATCTTGAATCGGTGTCACCTTTCTCTTCCCTCTTCATTGCAGCCATGGTGCAATGAAGTATTTTGTTTCTGGAGGTTTCACTTCCACTTCCCTGCCAGCTTCCTAAAATTCAGTTACCTGTACGTGGCTGGAAGTGTGTAGCACCAGGTATGTGTGTAGAAATATTTTTTCCCTGAGTCCTGTAAGTTGTGATCCCATCCCAGTCCTAGTAAAAGTGCTAATAAAAAGGAAGGTTGCTAAACCTTTAAATAAACTTTTTTCTTTCTGTTATGGGTGAGTGACAAAATAATTTCTAAGGAGAAGGTTCTTTTTCACTGTTAATGTCCAATTATAAATTCAGCCCCCACTGGGAATAGACAGGTATTTGGAGATGTGGATAATAAACTGCTCAACAGCTCTCTCTGGATCAAAGCAGCTCTGCAGTGATATCTTACTGCTATTCCACTGTAAATTTTTTTAAATATTTTCAAAATAACAATATATCAGAGCAGGAAAAATCCTGAGGCTGTGATTTCCAGGGCATCCCACAGCATGAGAAGCCAGCAGCACTAGCACACAGCAGCCACACAATTTGGGGAGCTGGGGCCAGCACCACCAGAGGACACCTGGGGAGCTCTGGGGATGCTCTGCCCACACTCCCGGGTGCCTGAGAGTCCCCTCCTCATAACCTCTCCTCAAACAGCCAAAAATGTGACAAGTGCTGTGATTGCATTTGCATTCTCCACTGCTGGTGGCTGAGGCACGAACTGGTCAGCGTTTATTTATTTATTTATTTTTTAACAGAGGATGGAGGCAAAATTTTGCTGTATGCTGCCATCTGCTGTGGGCTTCACATGGTTATGAGCATTTCAAATTTGTTTCTGACAGAGATAATGCTGCTTAGAATAAAGGTGAGCAAATAAATGGCACATGGAGTTGCATGAAAAGGATCTAAAACTCCCTTCCACTTGACCCCCCTGTGCAAAATGTCCTTCAAACAGTGGGAAACCTGTAGGAAGGAATTATGATTCACTGGTGATTTTAAGGGCAAATTATTTTCTCAAAGTGCTTCATGCTGTGGTGCTTCAAGGCATTCTTGTTCTTTTCTATTCCCTTGTAATTTTTCCCCCCACCTGCCTTCCCTCTCTCACCTGAGAGCTCCAGGGGGACCAATTTAAGGCTGGCAGCCTCAGAGCAGAGCTCTGACGTGGGTACCTGAGGCAAGGCCAGGCTCCTGGCTCAGCTGCCAGCCCTGTGCCTGCATTTACCTTGAGTAAATACACTCAGCATTAGGAGGTGGGCAAATCAATAATCTTTTTTTCTCTTGCTCATTGCCTATTACCATTGCATTGCTCCAACTATCAAAGCTCTCTTCAGGGAAATGAACTGGTGATGGAGTCAGTTTTCTTTTGATCAGGGAATACTGGTCTAGTTGAATTTTGACAACCTGTAAGGTTTTTACCTCTCCCTTGCCAAAAATGATGCAAACTATTCAAAAACTTACTCATGCACCTGGTGTCAATGCTGGGGCCACAACCTGCTGTCCTCTACAGGGGCTGGAGCTCCACCAGCAAGAAAACACGTGACAAAAGCAACAAAACAAACTTGGAAGCCTCTGCTCGTGTTAAACACATCAAAAGAGAGATTAGAGGCAATGATCGAGTGTGCTCTTTCAGTCCAGATAAGAAACACTTCCTTGTACCTTCCCTAAAGTCAAACACAGCAGGTAAGCTCCTTTCTTACTGTGCTTTGTGTAATCTGGGGCTCTTGGTGCCCACAGCCCTGATACTGCTTCTCACAGGGCTTTTTGTTGGAGGAATTAAATTTGGCCTGCAGATGTTAAACCAGTGCTACACCCCCAGAGATGCTGGAGGGTGTGCACCTCCCAGGGATCAAACGAGGCTGGAAGCAGCACCAGCAGGATGCACAGTGCAGCACTTAGGGTGAAAGCTTTCAACCTGCTTTCTTTGGATATTGGAGACACTCTAAAAACACTCAGATCTAAGTTTTTGTTAAGCTTAATGTGCAGTTCTTAAATTTGCATTTACAGACTTACTTGAACCTTGCCCTAAGAGCAGAGCTGGGCAGATCCCCACCTCTGTGCTGGGGTGTTTCTGGTGCAGGATGTGTTAAAAGCATGTCAAAAGCAAGTTAAATGCATGTCACCTCTAAGAAGGCACTTTGGCTTCCTCAGACACCAATCATAGGCTCTTTTTTTATACTTATCTCTGCCTCTTAACAGAAGTTTTCTGCTTATTTGTACATCAGAAGTGGAAAAAAAAATATTTTGGATTGGCCAAAGGAGAGTTCATCCATGTGATATTTCTCAGAATCTCTGGGAAAACTGCATATTGAATAAAAGTCGCTTGTGGTTCATCCAAAGTTCCCAGCTTTTTATCATTTTTTTTGGCTAAACTGTCATGGTGACAGGAGCAGATGATGAATGGCAAAGGAATTTTTCTTCACATGCTGGACATGTCTCACGAAGTCCAGAGTGTGGAGAACATTGGATTAATTTCCTGACAGTCTGTGACATGTTACTGTGGTTGTAATTTAACCCTGTATCACACCAGGGATCGAGCTCCCAAACCAGAGGCTGTTTCATCAGCCTCTTTAATAACGTGGCAAATAGACACTCCCCTAATATAAAGGTCTTAAACACTCCCAAGGTGTTTACCATGAAACCCCTAATCAGGATTACTTACACCAGAGCTGCCTTCAGCCCCACCTGCTTTGGCAGCCCTCTGTACCTGCACGTGTGCTGTTGAAAATGATTTTTGTTGAATGAAAAGAAGAAATCCCAAGGAAAAGGAAAAGTTTGCTAACCTGCCTTAAAAACTCTTTGAAGAGTTATTCTTCTGTGCACAGTTAAATACTGTAATACTGATGGCCAATTCATCAGTCCTGAATAAAACATAATGTCCATACAAAACACCACCCACAGCAAATGTCCTAAACCCCCAGACATATTCACTTGGCTTAATATAAATAAATATGTTCATATTGTGATTATATTTATTTTAAAGCCTCTGACATGAATGTTAATGGCATATGGAGGGGCAGGAAAATCCAGCTGTAGGGAGTGACTCTTTTATGTGGCAAGGGGGTTGGAGCTGGATGATGTAAGGTCCCTTAGAAACCAAACCATTCCATGATTCTGTGATTCTATGTCCTGCCTGTGGATTATTAAGACAGCACAGCAAGGGGTCTAACAAAAATAAGAAGGAAGAAAAAAGGAAGATTTGCAGGCTCACAGGGCTGGGTCTACCCAGAAGTGATTGTCATTGATCTGGGGGTCAGTGTGGCTTCTGGTTAGGAAGAATTCAGTAACTTTCCACATTTTACACTGGATTTCTCTTGAGTACAAAAGCAGACCACAATGGATACTTATCATACAGTCTTTTTATAGAAACAGGAGAGTTCAAAAGGAATTTTCAGGGGTCCTTTAAGAAATATGAAGTAGCAACACTGTCAGCTCCAAGAGCAGCACACTCATCTCCAGACTGCTGATAATACTAAAATATCAGCCATGTTGGGCTGTGAAAATGTCATCATAACAAGCAATGAACATTAAAACTCTTCTGAAAATGTCTTAGCTACACAAGGGTTCAACATACTTTGTTGTAGTTCTGTCATGCTTCTGTCAGTTCAAATTAATTCCAGTTTTGGTGTCAGCTTTGCAATAATGATTCCCTCTTCTTTTTAACAACATGCAGGCTTGGGAAGTTTCCATTGCACTGCAGTTTCTTCAGTCAGGGTGAAAGGTTTTGAAGCAGTGTCCTGTGATATCAAGGTTTGCAAACCACAGTCCGTGTGGGTTTACTGTTTTCTCTCAGATTTGACCCGATGCATTGCAGCAAAAATTAAGTTCTGCTTCTGCCAGCGCTTTCCTGCACCAGTGGTGATGGAAACACTGATTTAGAAGCACACAGACTGCATCCAAAATCACATCTCGAGCAGATCACCAGCACCTGATCAGATGATAAGATCAATTTGGGCTGATATTGGAAAGCTCTGACAATATTATCCATTATTCAGGCCACGCCATCCTCGGCGATCGATTCTGAAATGGACAACTTTCACCCTGGGATTTTTACAAAGGGCAAGTGTCAAACGATCAGGCATTTTCCAGCCTAAAAATAGCTGAGACTGTTGTATTAAAATGGAAATCAGGAAACCACAGCAGCATTTCAGATATTTTGTCCTTTGTCTGGCTGGCATCAGTCCATCCACACACTGATGTCACTGAGAGGCACAAAGAGTGTGGGGTCTGCATTGTCCCATTAGCAGAGAAAAGGAAGGAAAGCAGGGCATAAAGAAGCTCCTCTTCCATTTAAGTTCAGTAACCTCAGAATTTTCCAGTCAAGTTACAACCTGTTGTTCATTTCAGAGCTGTTTTCTGCAGGAAAACACGTAAGAATTTGATTTTTATGAACTTTGTTCACAGCGACATGATAATGCATTTGAATTCAGAGATTATTTTTTCTAAGAGTTGAACATACTTGTCCAAAGTGCCAACCTTCTGCTTCCTGCTTGCTTTTGGATTCAAAGGAAGATGCTGCTGCCTGTGCAACAGAGCACAGACCTCTTGTGAACCTATATGAATACTTTCAGAAGAAAAGATATTTTTGTAGTCTGGTTCTTGGAAGGTAAGCACTAAAATAACAGTGAGCAACTGACCTATAGTTATTCTAGTCTTTTTCTGCAAAACTTTATAGTGACAGCATCCAGGGTTATCAGTCTTAGCTTTTTTCCCTCCGTGTAAAATCTGTAGCTGACAGTAAACACACATGCTGATCATCCATCGTCCATCTGCTTCTTGCACCCAAAGCAGGCTGAATGTGCAACAGTTTGCACCAAGTGCAGTTGCCAGTAACCAAAAGAAACAGTCAAAGGTGCTCTGTGAAGGTCCAGAGCTCAGAAGAATGGGCTGGGTCCTTCTGTGGGGCTGGAGTGTGATGTGGGTTTTCAGGAGCCCAGAGCACAGCCACTCCCCTCAGGTCTGCAGTTCTTCTCTCTGGGGAAAAAAAAAACCATTTATGCACCTGTTGCACATGCTGGTGCTGCCACCCATGGAGCTCTGGAAGGGTTTTCCCACCCAGGTCTCCAAGGGGACTGAGGGGCTGCAGGAGCTGATCCTGCCAGCAGGATCAAAGAAACATGGAATGGCTTGGGTTGGAAGAGATCATCAATTCCAACCCCCCTGCCATGGGCAGGGACACTTTCCACTATCCCAGGTTGTTCCAAGCCCTATCCAGCCTGGCCTTGGACACTTCCAGGGATTCAAGGAAGCCACAGCTCCTCTGAGCACCCTGTGCCAGCGTGGCATCACACTCAAAGTGAAAAAAATTATTCCTAACATCTAATTTAAATCTACTCTCTGTTGGTTTGAAGCCACTTCCCCTTGTCCTGTCACTCCAGGCCCTTGTCAATAGTCTCTCTCCATCCTTCCTGCAGCTCCCTCAGGCACTGGAAGGCTGAAATTAGGTCACCCCAAAGCTTCTCTGCTCCAGTTTGATCTGGGCTATGCCCCAGTACAGCTCTGCCAGGTACAAGCCATTTCCTTGGCCCCACTTCTAAAGGCACACTGGTTCTCCTTTCTTTAGGTTTGCTTCAGAGTCTATTAAGAAGTGTCCATGTTTCCATGCTGCACCTGAAAATACTTTCTAAGGGGATAAACTTACCTCTGAAGGATATCCTTCTGAAAAAGTCCAATAATATTTTAGCACTTGGCTCAACAAAGATTTTGCTGTACTTTTTTTCTCCCTTGATCACTTTATAATGGAGAGCCGTGATTTCATGTGATATGAGCTCTTAATCTGGAATGTTTGTATATGCAAATAAATCAGAATGACATTTTCAGGGGGAATAAAATAAATTAATATTACAGGTGTTGAAGACTGAGAAAGACTCTGTTTTCCTGTTTTCTTTGAGTGACAGATAGGCTTGTGAGAGCACAAATCATCATGTGCAATGCAGGTTGTAAAAACAGTGTGTGTCATCCAGTACTCAGATGTGGGCCGAGCTGAAATCGCACCCATCACCTTATTTTGGGCATTTGCTTGTCTGTGAATGTTTGATATTGGCAGTTTGGTTTGAGGAGGAAGCCTCACGTATTTCACAAGTGAGATGGCCACAGGGGTGGTTTCAGCACCTGGCTGCATTGCTGCATTGCTGCATTGCTGGAGCTGGAATGGCACCACTGCTGTCCATGCATTCCCTCATCCCAGCAGGCTGGGTGTGGGAACAGCAGCTCTGTCTGCCAGGGCAAGGCAGAACGAGACAGGAGAATTAATTAAACAATTAATCAATAACAATTAAGAGCCTGTGCACAGCTCTCTACCCATCCAGAATCCTCCCAGGGCACTGGAGGAGGGCTCTCCTGCCTTGCACTTGCCCTACCTGGTGCCACTTGAGGTGTCTTAGTGCACTTGGCACCACCTGAGCCTGCACAGGGTATCTGAGCCAGCCCCGTGGGGATGGGTGGTGGATGCAGCCCAGGGCAAGCTGCAGATCCTTCTGCAGGATATCCTGTGAGCCAGGCAGGACAGCCTGGGATCCCTGGGATGGCTCTGGATGACCCTGCCTAGGCAAAGGAGCCCTGCCTGGGAGTCCCACCCGGGGCACAGTGCCTGTCTGTGCCCAGCTGACTGAGCCCAGCACTCTCTGGCAGCACTGCAGAGGTGCTGGCAGCAGCAGAGCTGCTCTCCTGTCACTGGGCCACCCTTGGGTCAGGGGAAAGTGGCTGCAGGGTCCCCTCACTTCCCTGTCTCTGCTCTCCTTCCAGCCAACACCGTGATCCCTCTGCAATTTCTTTGCAGTCTCCACTCCTCAGGCTTCTCTGTAGCAGCCCCAGGGCTCCAAACTAAGTCACAGAATGACAGAATGTTAAGGGTTGGAAGGCACTTCTAAGATCAGCTCATCCCAGCCTCTCCTGCCATGGGCAGGAACATCTCCCACTATCCCAGGCTGCTCCAGGCCTTATCCAACCTGGCCTTGGACACTGCCAGGGATCCACAACCTTCCTGGGCAACCTGTGCCAGGGCCTCACCACCCTCACAGGGGAGAATTTCATCCTGTCTAACCTAAATTTCCCCTCTTTCTATTTGTACCCATCACTCCTTGTCCTGTCACTACAATTCCTAACAAAGAGTACTTCTCCAGCTTCCCTGAAGAGCACCTTCAGACTCTGGAATGTGCTCTGAGGTCTCCACATAAACTTTTCTTCTGGCTGAGCAGCCACACCTTTCCCAGCCTGTGCTCCAGTCCTCTTAGCAGCTCTGTGTCCCTGCTCTGGACTTGCTCCACCATTCCCACACCCTTCCTATTTTGGGGCACCAGAACTGCACACACCACAGTCCCCAAGGATCTCTTTCCTTGGCCCCCATCTCCTGACTCAGCCCTTCCACACCTCCCTGCTCCCTGTGCTGCTCCAGTGTCCCTCCCCTGTGATTCCCACCCCTGTGGATGTGCTGTCCTCTCCTCCCCACCCCTCTGTGGTGTCCCCAAACCCCTGCACCCTGCTCTGCCCCAGGGCCTGTCCCTGTCCCCTGTCCCTGTCCCCTCCAGTCTTCACCCAGGACAGCTCAGCTCTGACAGATATGGGCCAACCCCACTTTGCGTGGCACAAAGTGACAGCCAGAGGTGGAGGAGCAGGGCCAGCCCAGACCTCCATCTGCTCGTGGATCCAGTCCAGGAAGGAGGTGGTTCTGCTGTAGACACCCGGCTTGTTCTTCTCTGCACAGCCCACTCCAAAGCTGGTGGTCCCCACCAGCTTCCAGACACTCATATCTTCACAGGCTAAAGGCCCCCCACTATCTCCCTGGGGGAAAAAGAATAAAAACAAATTTTAGTGTCCCAGAAAAGGAGGGAATTGTCTGTGTGGGAGAGATATAGTCCAGTAATTCAAAATCTCTTCTTTCTGCTAGGTTCTGGGTCCTGAGAAAAGCACATTACAGCAGGGCTTGGAGACTTTTGGGACCTGTATGAGACCATATTTTTCATTCCCTGGCTCCTGGCTATTGAGCTGAGCTGAACCCAAGGTTGCAGCACCAAGCTCACATCTCACCTCCTCTCCTGCCTGCTCCTGCCTGCTTTTCCAGCCCTTCCCAGACACTTTGCTGTGCAGATTCATCTCAATGGACTCGCATCTAAGCACTGAAAACTTCCCATTCCATTTTTGCTGGAGCAGTTTCCTGTCCTACAAGAATCAGAGCCAGCAAAACCAATGGAAAAAAGGGAATTTGGAACAAGGCTGTCCCACTGGTGAGCAGGGCTCCTCCTGTCACGTGGAGCTGTGAGCTGAGCACGCTGCCTTTGGGCAGCTCTCCTGGGCAGAGCTGGTGCCAAGTGCCTTTTTGAGGAGATTGTGTGCAAAAAGGGGATGAAATTCAGGTCTAGACACCCACTGCCTTTGCTATTTTTTTTTTTTTTTTTTGTCCCAAGTGTGATTGGGTTGCAGCAAATCTAGAAACGTGAAGTTCACAGAATCACAGAGATTTGGGTTGGAAGGGACATTGAAGTATGTGTAGATCCAAGCCCCCTGCTTGGAAAAGGGACATCTTCCACTAGGAATTCCTCCCCAGCCCTATCTGGCTTTTCACCATGGGCTTTCTGCACCTTGCAGGTCCCTGGAGCTGCTCACAGTGCAGGGAAGTGCAGTTCAGTGCAGTGCAGGGGTCACAGCCAAAGCAGAGAAAGGATGGCACCGTGCTGCAGCACATGCAGCAAAATAGGTCTTAAGCAAATTTGGCTCCAGAAGTATCAGATAAGATCCAGAGAAGAAGTATAAAAAGGAAATTGTAGCGTGTGAATGCACATGGTCAGTGATTGATAATTGTGGTAAGCAGAATAAATGGCACAAACCCAAATGTTTGCCCAAGAAAAGCCTGGGAGTGCCTCCTGATAGCTTATCACTCATGTTTTTCCATTTCCAATGAGCACAGTCGCAGTTTGGAAACTTCCATACCTGGCAGGTGTCCACTCCTCCCTTTAGGAAACCAGCACAAAGCATTGAAGAAGTTATGATCCCACCGTAGACATCCCTGTGATTGCAAATTGCATTGGAAATCAGAGGGACACCTGCATAATTCATGGTGTCAGATGTGTCACCTGTTAAAAAAACAGAAAAAAAAAACAGAAAAAAACCCTTCCTGTCCTTGAAAATAATCTCCACTTATAAACAGAGAATGCTTTATATACAAAGAATTGGCAAGGAAGGAGGAAAGAAACATGGTTAAATGCCAAGACAAAAGTGAGGCAACTTGGTGTCTCATCACTTACAGAACACAGCAATTATCCACTCTGTAGAGATGTGGATTATCAGAGTGTATAAAACAACAATGAAATCTGGACATTGTGTGTTTCCACTTCAAACTACACAATTAATGACACTAATAAACTAAAAAACTTGTTGAACATTGTGTTCAATACTAGTGCCAAAACCTGTTCTGAATTTATCACCTGTTCTGTTAGTCAACAAATCATCTGCAAACATCTGATTTACTTTATAAATATTTGTTTTATTTCATTCACAGCCTGAACAGGTCCTTTCTACAAATGGGAGTATTTGCACACTGCCTATTGTCAATTCAGGGCTGGTTTTTTTTATGTGGCAAACCTTGCTTTCATTTTCTCCCCACCTTTGGCTGTTATCTGTGGGTCAGGTAATGTTCTGTTCTTGTTCTCTGAACAACAGAAACACATTCAATGACATGAATGAAGAGTGATAAAAAGCAATTAATGGGTGACAATTCACCCATTTTCACGTGAAGGTGGTTCAGTTTATATTATTGATTAACATGACCCATTAGTCATGGTAAAAAAGAACAAAACCTTTTCTTTTTGATGTTGTTTTATCCAATTTCTACATCAGCCAATGTGCCTTAAAATACATATATGCTTTCTCTAAAAAAAAGGGATGGTTAATTCTTGCATTCATGCTGTGCCTCCTATGCTTGGAGTTCTAAAGGGCACATCCTGTTTGACTGAGGCTGAGTACAACACTGGGGACATTTTATATGTGTAATTTTCAACTGTTTCAGAGGATATCCATCCACTCCTTGTGATATGACTTTGCACAGTGCTTTTGCAGTTCAGTTTGTGCATAAAATTTAGTAATACGTCTTCTCTCCCCCTCCAGATATTCCAGAAAATTTAGTGTTAAAGAGTACCACAACCAAATCCTGTATTTACTGTATGTAAGATGTGTGCATGTAGTGAAATCATCAGCAGACAATTTAAAATACCTCCTTCCACAGTTGCTCCCCATCCTGATACCCAACACATTTTCCCTGCTGGGAAATGTTCACCAAAATTGGGCAGGCAGATTGGTTCAATGTGACCTATTAAAAAAAAAAAAAAAAAAAAAAAAAAAAAAAAAAAAAAAAAAAAAAAAAAAAAAAAAAAAAAAAAAAAAAAAAAAAAAAAAAAAAGGGAGAGAGAAGAGAATCAAAATTTAGCAAAAGAAAAAAGTTTCTATGTCTCAGGAAAACTTGAAGATTTGGCTTGCAATGAACTTGTGATGAACACCACCCACTCCCCACATAAATAGCCTGGCAGTTTTCTGCAGGCTTTTTGTCTTGTGGGCAACACTGAGGATTTGAGACAACACCCACAGTAGCCCAATGAGTTTTCGGTATGAAGCAACACAAGGAGGTATCAGCAGGTCAATAAATTGAAGAATAAGAAAACAAGAAATGCAGCTGAAAGGCAGATCAGAGGCCCCAGAGCTGCTGGGGTGAGACAAGGAGCCGGAAAAAACTTTTTGGATTCTTTGCTTCCCACCCATCTGCTCACAGAGTTTTGGTGCCTCTGCACTCTGGGACATGGGATTTCATGGGATAAAATCAGAGCTTGGTTCTTGCAGGGACAAATGGATGCTGAGAAAAGGGAGGGGAATTACAAAATATAACTGGGCATCTCCCAGTGGTTCTGCTCTGCACAGTGCAGTGATCCCAGCTCAAGGCATCAAGCCCCCAGCATGGAACACAGTGGGATCGTGCTCAGGTGCAGAGCCACTACTGTTCCTTACTATTCCTTCCTACTATTCCCTATTCCTTAAGTATCCCTTAATATTCCTTATTCCCAAAGTTATTCATGAGCAGAAGAAATCAGCAGAAATCTGAGAGACAAAACAAAAAAAATCGAGATTAATTTTCATTAAAAGTGAAATTTTAAACCATTACAAGAAAACTGATATAGAAAACGACTGCCTAGATGTGTCAAAGAGCACAAGCTCCCCTCTGCAGCCAGCTCTCAGTGATTAGGAATTATTGGCAGGTATTACAATTCATACAATATTATTGCATATTATTTCAACTCATTGTATCAACTGCAGGTAGCATCCAATCGAAAAAATAAAAGCGGCTTTCATTTAAATCATCATTATATTCAAATTACCTTCTCTTCTCTTTGAAATTCAAGCTTGATTTTCAGCTTTGGACACTTCTGAATCCCCCAGTACTCATAGAAAGGACATGATAAAAATCACTGTGACCTCCAAGCAGAATGAGGCAGGGTGTTTATTTTAGATAGGAAGAATATTTAGAAAGAATAAAGTTAATGTTTGCCTATTAATAAATGCCTGCAGTAAATCAATACCAGAGTGGACTGGGAACATTTTGCAGCACGTTGCTGCTGTCCATGCCTGGATATAGAGTACAGAGGAGCTGCTCACACTGAGCCTGGGGGGTTTCTGCTGGTGTTGTGTGGACAGGGGTGTTTTAGCTGGGAAGGTGAGAAAGTCAAATGCAAGCTGACAGAGGTAAATTACCATTGAGAGTGAGAGGTGCTGCCAGTTTCATCAGTGCTATGTCATTCCCCATAGTCTTGGGTTTATAATTCCGATGGTAAATGATTTTTTCCACTGAGTGTGGGTGAACCTGGGTGTCCTGCTGAGTCACAAAACCGACCTGAACGCTCCATGAGCTCGGCAAGTACAGGCTGGAACAAAGAGGTAGAAGAGAGAGTCAAACCTCCAGGAAAACCCTCAGGATTTTCTAATTGTCCCCTGAGCTTACACATACAACAGGCAAATAACTCCAGTCTGCTGTACTGGCTTACTTCTCTATTAACAATGGCTGTGTTTTGCATCTAATTATTAAAAATGCAAAAGTAATTTTAGTAAGACACCGGGTGACTAATCTTAGTAAGACATTGGGTCACTGGTACATTATCAGGGCAATTATTTGTATCCTACTATGAATATCTGAATTTTTCATCAGCCCAGCTGTCTGTGCTCCTATGAGACCCCACAGATCCTGTGAGACCCTGGCACACCTGCACTCAGCCAGACCTCAGCAGCACTTGTGGCAAGGCATTTTCAAGGAGAAACTTCCCTTCTGGAAGGTGTTTCTGCCCCAGTTCATGAGCTGGCACATCCTTCAGCCTCCAGCACATGAGCAGCTCCTCTCCTTTTGGCCTTGCTCCCCTGGGAAAAGGCTCCAGGGATGTGGTTTGTGTTGCCAGCTGTCATCCCCATCACCCTTCAAACACACCACAACCACCTGGGCTGGGGGGACAAAGTCAAGGACAAAGGTTCTAAAATGCTGAATTCATAAGTAATTATTTTTATGGCAACACAGGGCTCTAAAGAGGAATTAGGAGTGGGCTTTGTCCATCTCATCTCTTCTCTCTACTGGGTATAAAAGCATCATACAAGACTTTACTCAGAAGAAGGCATCCATGTAATAGGTGCTTAAAAGTGGTCAGACAAATCCCATTTTTGCTGTCTAAATGTCTTTGGTGAAAGTGGCCTGGAGTTTGTAAGAGCAAGAGGTGCTCCTGCACTATTTGCATCAAACAAGGCTGCAAAACCAGACAGCTCATTATAAATGTTTGTAATTACACAAAGAAGAAGAGTTTAAATAACTATTTAGCATCTATTTACAGCCTGCAGACCTCCTCAACTGCATAGAAAGGAGCAGTAAGTGGCAAAGGGCACAAAGCACAGTACAACTGACTTATAATCACTGATTGATCCTGTCAACTTGAAAAGAATCCTGCAATTTATTTTGGAGCTCCAGTGGATCAGAGAAGTCAAATACAAATTTTGTACATGCAATTTACAGAAATTGCAGGTTGGGATACCTAAAATATAGCACTTCAATCTTGTTTTAAGATGTTTTATCAGGGAGCTGGGAGTGGTCAGAACATCTGGAAACTGGGATCCTGGGTTTAGATCACTTTTTGGGGAAGCTTTTTTCCAATAAAGATTCATACAAAGAGAGAGGAACATTAAAATGTTGATACCTTTTTGAGGACTACCTTAAAAACAGATGTCAGACAAAACTAAGGGAATAAAAAGCAGTTATATTTATTGAAGGGTCTTTAGGTACGTTTAGGGCAGACAAAGTGGATATAGGTCACGGATTTTCACACTTATAAGTTTGGTCCATTTGCATATTGGGGGTGCGATAGACGAGTAATGCCATGATTGACTCTCACAATTAAAAGGCAAATATCATGTATATATGTTAAGAGAAGTTTTACAGATTTATAGTTTTACCCCCCTTGCATTGTTATTATGGTATGGCCTGGGTTTGGGACATTTGGGAGGGTCAGCTTGTCACTATGGCAGCACCTGACCTCCAATAAAGATTTAAGGAAGTGAACTCCACCACTGGATGGTGAAGGAGTAGATGGACAGAACCTTGGGAGAGGCTAAAGGGTTACAAATGTGAAACCTCCATAGTGTGGATGAGCACATGGTGGGAAAGATCCTCTGCTCCCAGCACTGTAATGTTTTCTCTATGCAGTCTTCTGTTGTATTTTTGATAAGGTTTTAATAAACCTTTTAAAATTTTGGAAGCGAGTATCATTTCCTCACAGGGGTTAATATTCCAATTACAGCTTCAGGTAATAAAGTATTTACTCCACGTTTGCTCCCCCCCAAACACACTTTGGTCTACATTTCTTGAGGCTCAAGACAATAGGGTGTCCTTGATTCCCAGGTCTAGATAGGAATTTTTTGTGCCCAAAATGGGACAGCAGCAGTTAACACTCTTATATGGAGCCTAGAGCTATACACTGAAGAATTGCAGGACTACAAACATGAAAAACATAAAAGCCAAACCCCTAAAGCATTGACCA